GGGGGGGGGGGGGGGGGGGGGGGTTCGCGCGTTAATTTCTACGGAACAGTGCGTCGTGATTGCGCCTCGATATTTTTACGGAAATTTAGTAAGCGATGTGTGAATGTATGGAGATGCGACGGATGAATGAACGAATGAATGAGACCGTCACCTGTGTAGTGTGTGTTTGTTGCTGGGCGTTTGCCGGCGTCCTTAGTATGAGCTGAACGCCACCTGGCTGCTGCTGTACAATAACAGGTCCAGTCGACGGCAACACCTATGTACCAAATGTGAGAAATATATGAAGCACAAAGCGGCTCTTTCGCCGAGATATATATAGGAATGCACGCGGGCAAGCGGTGGAAATAGATATACAGCGTATCTCGTATAAATATATAGCGTGACGTATACGTTTTCTACGTAATTACAATAACGCACATGCGGATGATGGGGATACAGAGTGGGGCAATCGTTATTACCACTTTGAATATCTTCGAATTACGGCAATAGGTGAGAATTTTATCTAACAGAAATCGCATTGAATTACCGATGGTCGTCATTTCGAACACCTTCTGTAAGTGTGAACTTCTTTTACCTTCGTATAGTCGTCAATGAAAGATATCTGATTTTCTGAAGATGTTCACGGCGATAGTTATTGCCTCATCTGAATCTGAATGATAATCGAGCATGAAAGAGGACACAAGTCTTTCTAATAACCTGATTCAGTAGCAGACCCTGTGCTGTCGGTATCATTGTTGCCGTGGTAGGACTTGGCTGTGGCCCGGCGAGAACCAGTTGCGGCTGGGTTTGCTGCGTTACCTTCAACAGAAGAAACACACAGTGTTTGATGCAGAATCTGTCTAATAAGAATGTGACCGACGTTAACTTTGAAATTATCTATCGCAAAGAATAAAAATAAAATTACATATGTACCACACGATCAGTACTACAACGATTTTGTATCGATAAATCGTTCAATCACCGATGTTGTCACTTATCGCCTGACACCTTCCAGACATAAGTACTGTCCACCAATTTTACAGCGTTACTCCCGAGATAAAGACCGTCATATTGAACGAATCTGTTTCATCGTGTGTACACTTTTTTCCACGCAACGTTATCTTCATTAACGCCCAGACATTTTCAATCAGAACTTACGTCTGATGACTGTGACGGCCAGACTTAGTGTTTGACGACGTTACTCTCTTACTTCCATCGAAAGCAAGGACGACTCCAATGTTTTGGAGTTGTTCTCTTGAAGAATCCAATCCTGACCTTAACTTCGAAATCACTCTTCTCGACAGATGGTATATCAATGCTCTCTATGCTCTATCTATCTATCTCTCTCTTTCTGCCAAATATTGACCATCTTCCTGGCATTCAAATTCAGCGCTGGTAGTCTCCGTGCGCTTCCTCCGCACTCATTTGAAACAAAAGACTAACGACAACTGTCTCAAAACTGATATTAATCGCTATGTGATTCGATCCACTCTACACTCCGGCACTCTTTAAACACATCGTTCTTTAGCGAAAGTCGGACAACGACCGGGACCCTCGGTATAATACGTCGTCGGATAAGAGCCCTTCTACCTGCTCGTTCAAAAATTTTCGATGTAACGGTTTTCGAACAGAAGTTTGCCTGGTCACGTTCTTATCAGACACAATGTGAGAATGTCGCAACGGGACGACGACCCAGCCAGTTCCGTTGAGACGAGAGGGTTAAGAAGCAAAAAAAACTGTACCTGATTAGTGATAGTAGTCGTGGTGCGCTGTGGTTTCTGCTGGGAAGTGGCGACCTGCTGATTCGGCGGTTTCGGCAAGATCTGCTGCGGTTGCTTGGCAGTCTTCGGGGGCGTCGCTATTTGTATCTGCTGGTTCCCGAACAGATGCCTGGTCACCAATTGAGTCGGAGTCGACTGGTAACCCTGCGGTGTACCATGAATTATTTGCAACACCTGCATACCTTGTTGCAGTATGGGCGTATTAGGCCTAACCTGGAACACACACACGCACACGAAAGGCGCATTATTAGCGGACGTGCCGCACCAAATCTCCGTCTGCTACCGTTCAGAAGCAGAAGAGTGCGACAATCCAACGTGAGCAACGTAAGCACGATTCGAATAGAAGCACGCTTCTTTTTCGAGAAAGAGAGTAATTAGTGAGAGTGCGTGTGAAATGCCCTTACCACAGGTGGACCAGGACTACCTCCGGGTGCCGGGCTCCTATTGTTGAGAGAGTTATTCCCGCTCAAGAGATGCGGACTTTTAGCGGGGGGATACGGGCTAAGTACAGGGCTCTGTATTTGGCTCATCGGGCTCTGCATGGGACTTTGCATTTGTATGTTAAAGTTATTGTTCGAGGTCGACGTCCCGACCGGGCTCGGACTGTTCCTATTCGACTGTATGGAGTTGGACGCCGGGCTTCTGAGCAACAGCCGATTCGGGCTGGGGCTCGGCGTGGGCGGCGCTATATTCGACGCCGGGCTCTTGAGGGGCATCGAGAACGGGCTACCCGGCGAACTAATGTTCTGGCTCTGGATATTCTGCATGGACTTAACGGTATTCATGGTACTGACCACGTTCGACGGCTGTGTCGTGCCGGTTAGCGTTACCGACGAGCTCAAGCCGGGGTTAATCCCCTGTGGATACTGTCGCTGCGGCTGAAACCCCGTCGACTGGGAGGAACTCAAAGAAGAAACGTGACTCAATGACATGGTAGTCTCGTTCGGCGCGCTAATATGCTGCACGTTCGACGTCGATATATTGGACAAGTTAGAGTGCATTGTTGCGAGGTGCGGTATGTTCGTGGTGAGATTCACGTTCGAAGCGTGATTGTTCACATTCGCTGTGGTTGTATGGATCGACTCGCTGGGGGTGCTGGTGAACACGCTCGGGCTCGTCAGAGTGGCCGCGCTCGAGATCTGCGAGATCGTCGAGGCGCTCGGGTTGGGATGCTGCGATATGGCGGAGCTCGGTACATGCGCTAGATTCGATGATCCGACAATGTGCGGTGCGACAGTCTGAATGCTCTGTATCGTTTGGAATGGGAACTGCGTGTTACTGGAGTTCAGTGTGGTCGGCGTCAGACCGGCGGTCGCCAGGGCGTTCGCCGGCCGGCTGAGGCCCTGATTTAAACCGGAATTAATGCTGGTGCTGGTCAAACTTGCATTCGGATTGATAGCGGGCAAACCCGACACGCCGGAATTCGCGGCGCTCAAATTCGTGTTCAGCGTCGTGAGATTTTGATTGATACTCGGGGAGCTCAGGTTCGCCAGATTTGGACTCACGCCGGAGAGTCCGGTGCTCACCCCGGACAAACCGGAATTGATATTAGTCGAGTTCAACGTGTTGCTTATCCCGGTACTTATCCCAGCGTTTATGCTACTCAAATCCTGTCCCAGGTTGGACAGGCCGTTGTTAATATTGTTCGAACCGATGTTGGAATTGATAGCGTTCAACTGATTCAGGCTGGGATTTATCGTCGCCAGCCCCGTGTTTATGCTCGGCAAGCCCAAATTCAGCAGAGGATTCGTCGTGGTGATAACATTGGAGGTGAGAGATGTAAGACTGGTATTTAGAAGTGACAGTGGCAATCCCATATTAAGGCCCACCCCAAAAGTGGGGGTGGCCGGGGGTAGGCCCATACCAGTCCCCGAGGGATTTATGGTACTCTGATTTAATTGATTCAACTGATTTACGTAGACTATGTGATTCCCAGTCGTCGATCCATTCCCTTGGTCTTGCGGCTGCAAGAGAGAAAGCATTAGCAACACTTCATCTCCGGTATGAACCGGTATATCGCGCTAGAAATGATCGTCTACGAGAAAGAAAGAGAGAGAGAGAGAGAAAGCAACTCACAGTATTCGATGTCTGTTGCAAAGCAAATGTTAGTGACTGACCGCTGGTATTCTGGGCCTGTAGCTGTAGTTGCTGCAGCTAAAGCAAGATCAAGTCGGGTATGAGATTGCTTGTCAACTTACTTAGTCTCGTGTACGAGCGTATCAGGCATTTCAATGAATTCTTACTTGTTGCTGGGTCAAAACGGCAACTGAACTATTACGACGTGCATTCGGGGAAGTTGTAGAGGATACTGAGTCCCCAAGGAGAGGGCGTGACTGAGGCTGCTGCATGCCCACGCAGCCCCTCTTTACTACGGGCAGCGTCTAGCTACCTTTCCAGCTTATTTTGTTCTTTCCACTAAACTTTCCTATCGATGTGAAATTACATCTCATTCATCACATACTCGTGGGAAATAAATAAGTATACACTTATACATGTATACACACTTAAATATACTCATGTATACGCATATATATATATATATATATATATACTTATGCATCGTGCATATTATTTGTAACTTTCAAAATAATGTTACCTGATAAATCACAAAAATCACATTTGTCGAGATTAATAGATACTAACAGACGGATAGTCAAGACATATTTTTATAAAGAAATGCTTCTTCAATGTTAGAAAAAATTTCAAACACATTTTGAGAACCGATATCAGTATTGGTACACAGAAATCTTAATTCGCATGTCTCTAGTCAAGTTAAAAACTTTATAATTAATATCAAAGTTACTCTACTATACTAAGTTACTGTAATTGTAACAATACACGTGTGTGCCTGTGTGTGTATACTGAATATCATTAATGAAGAAATTATATTTACCAAAGTTTGGATAAAAGCAGTGTTTGCGTTTCGGCGCCACTCAACGCGTCTGCGACCTACGTCTCCTGTTCCTGTCATGCATATAATTTCGTGTTTCTCCTAACACTCAGACAGCACTCTCTCTCTCTTTCTCTCACGACTCCTCAAAGTACCTGTATCCACTTTTCTACCGTGAAGGTGTGCGTCGCTCTTCTAAAGTTCATGCGAAAATGCTAATTGCGCCTGGTCGTTACACACATCGCTCTGTTGCGCACAGAAAGTAGTTCCTGCCCGGACTACTTTATCCATTGAAGAATAACTGCTCAATCTCATTGTGCACATATCCTGACTTATATCTAAAGTACACTTGTCGCAAGATCCCACCCATTTATAAATGTAGCAAAGTTACACTTGTCCATGACAGTACATCCAGGTGTGCACACAGAAATGAATACGCAGAGTGTCACCTTGTCTAAGGTAAGGTATCTCGCTCGCATTATCCGTATTATCCCAGATCCAGGAAGTAACTCGTAAACATTCTTGTAAATGCTCGTCAACCGCGTCTAATGCGTAATGTCAGCACAGCATACCTTAGCACGTGCGACATCCATCGGGACAACGACTTCCCCGTAAAAGCGTCCCTAATGTCGTTACACTCACTAACACTTGCGCTTGCACCGTACACCCGTCGCTCGACTCTGCCCTGTAAAAAGGAAACGTAGAGTCAGTTGATTAGTCGATACCCGTAGACCCGAGCCGCTCGACGCGGGAGTCAACGTGAGCCGCTTCTCACAGACTCTGCAGCGATTAAACCGACGGTATAAACTGTATGTAAAAAAAATCGTCTCTCCTACGAGGGGAATACGCGCGAGACGAAGGAGACGGTGCGACGTGTCACGTGTGATCGAGCGCGGCCGAGCGGCCGGGGCACGTCGGTCCCGAATTGGCGCGCCAATTCCGCGGGACCGGGCGAGGATCCCGGCGAAACGGTCGGGCCTTCGCACGAGAATTCGACAGCTGGAAGGCATCTTTTGAGGTTATAACTGGCGCGCCTGTGTGCAAGCATACGTGCCACACAAGCCACCAACACGCGTACGGGGTAGAGTCTCTCTCTCTCTCTCTCTCTCTCTCACACACACCTCACTCTCACTTACGAGTGCAGCGAGCAGCGGCGCGCGGTTGCACACAACAAAAGCCCAACTGACAAGGCGTAAACAAAAGAAAACGCGAGGATCCGGGGGAAATTTCACGGTCCGAGGGGCCGGGCGGGCTCACGGACCGCGCCGCGACACGTGTGTCGCGTATCGACGCGCATAAATGCGCGTAGCGTCGCGACGAAAAATTGTCAATATTACCTCGGCGAACGCGGTTTTCGCCACCCCGTGTTTTCCTCCTGGGAATTTTCGGCCGCGCGCGGTACTCTCGCCGCGTGTACCCGGGTCTCGCCGCGGCCGGACAGCACCTCGCCGTAACGACAACAATCGCACACGGAGCACGCGCGACGCTATATCCTGCTGAGAATAATAAACTTTTTCAGTTACACGACACAGTTCCATGTACGCGTTACACTATTCGGTGGCAACGGCCATCATGTATTTTGTCAAGGCTGCCATTAGCGCAGGCGGGTTTATAAAATCCCAGCCACCGCCAACATTGGCGACACCTCGGCACCTTTAGTTTAGGGCGCCGTAACTTTTTGCGAGCGGCGTGACTCCCGCGCGCGCGCCGATTGGCCGCCGGTTAGCGCATAACCAATCGTAATATAATCGCGATTTATATACCGTTTCATTGAAGCTCGTCGACGATAAGAATCGGACTTAAGAGTGGTGGTCGTGAAAGCGTGCTGCTGAGAAAAACATTTAAAAAATTAACAAATCGTAGGAAACGATTTTTGAAACTTGAACTTTTTATATCCAGCCATTGAAAATCTCACTGAGTGAGAAGCGATGTAAATAATTCGAGAAAAATGATATTCTGATTTTTTCCCACGACTTTTTTCGTTCGTTACATTTATTAATTAGACGTGCGAGTCACCTTTCGATTAGACGTATCTTCGGAACGATCAAATTTCTCGCAACACGCGTTTACGACGCGCGTCCCGATGCTATCATTACGATTTAGGAATTTTTGCATCAATTTTACTACGAGTCTAGATACTAAACGATACGTGACGTAGCTCTCAGTGTCCCTACAATTAAAAGGAGACAGAGCCATCTCTCTGGTTATCTCTCTAGAATCGCTTATCTATGCGAGAGGTTTGTTCCTTGTAACTGTGGTTTCTGAACAATCTTGCGATACTATTTCATTTGCTTTTTTCTCTCTCCCTCTCTCTTCCACCGAGTGTCAAGTGTGTGGTACTGCTTCGCTTTAACTACAAACAGTGCAACCTGATGCAGCTATAGAGAACAGACTCAAGGATTACGTGGGAGACACACGCGCGTTCCGATATCGGTAAAATTCTGTGTATCTAAACCAAGGGTGAGTCCCCTTGGCCGAGGAGAGAGAGAGAGAGTTGTCAATCACACAGAGGTTAGGTTAGATTTGGTGCTCACAGATTATCAATATTAGAGAATATTTTTCTGCTAAATCGAAAGATACCACCTAGTTTTTATTCGTTTGCTTAAATAAGAAAAATCTCAGGTGTTCGATGTAATTCTCAATAGCAACTGCTAGAAATGTTATCAACGATTGTGAAAGAACATCAGAGCAAGCAAGCACTAAGGAAAGAGAGACAAGGTAAATTGGATAAATTGCATTTAACTCTTTTTTATACTGAAAATACATATTCGTTAAGATTTACGACTAATTCAACAGAACAAAAGCGAAAAGAAGCTGTCCAGGCTGCGAGCAACTTGACTCAAGCTCTTGTCGATCATTTGAATGTTGGGTAAGTTTAATTATTTGAGTTTTAATATGATTTTTTTTATATGTGTACAATAATCTGAGAAAATTATGAAACCTTTGATATTTATAGGGTGGCTCAAGCATATTTAAATCAGAAAAAACTAGATGCAGAAGCTAAGCAACTACAGCACAGTGCGACCAATTTTGCCAAACAAACACAGCTATGGTTGAATTTAGTAGAATCCTTTTCGAGCTCTTTGAAAGAAATTGGGGATGCAGAGAATTGGGCACGCAGTATAGAAGGAGATATGAGGACAATAGCTACTGCCTTGGAATATTCATATAAAGGTACAAAACTTAGTAATGTTGTGACGTATCTTTATATGTATAATAAAACAACTTAAATGTGGTGTCATTTTTAGCTACGCAAGAAAATCAAAGTGTTGGCAATGTTTAAAAAAGCAACGCCGTATGAAATATAGTTATGTAAGAATTTTGTAATAATTTTGTGGTATGAAGGAGTTTGTGTTAACATATGAAGTCACTGTAATTTAAGTTATATTTAAAGGAGAAAATATTTGTACATAATTTTTCATAGGATTAATGCCATATTCTAATTAAAATAACCACTATATTGTAATATTGTTAAATACATTTATCTTTTATTTCCACAGTGTTATATTTATTCTTCAGAAAAGAGAGAGAGAGAGACATTGCGGTATTTAGCTCTTGTTACAGAACAATCATCTCGTAATGTTTTATTTCTGCATTTTATAAGTCTTCGCTACGCCGCTGAAATAGTGCAATAAGTTAAAGTGAAAAAACATATATTTGTCTCGCTTCAACTTATTACACTAGTTGAGCGGTGCAGCGAAAACGAACAGACCTCATGTTTAATATCTTATCATTCTGCGCCATCCATATTGGATTTAAGGTTAGGTTAAGAATTATGGCAGCCGGTCCGATAGCAGAACGTAACCAAGGTATATCTTAATGTTTTAATTTAAATAATTGGCTATCTTTAATTATTTTTATGATTTTATCTCAGAGTTATTTTTCAAAACAAGATTTGACTAGCACTCTCATCTATTTTCACATGAAAAGATGAGTTAGTCATCTCATTGAGGTTAGACACACTGTAAGGCATCTAATAAAATCTGTCTTTTTTTCAAATTTATATACATATTTACTCGTAGGTTAAACTTTACTTATGTACTTATTGTCTATATTTATAACCTTTCAGATGCGACGATATATGTTGGAGGTTTGGATGACAAAGTTACAGAATCCCTTATGTGGGAACTGTTCGTCCAATCAGGGCCTGTTGGTATGTATATTTATGTGTCGTTCACTTATACAAATAATATGCAAGTGTATATTTCTTAATAATCTCTAATTTTCCATTGAGATACATTTAAATCGCATGAGACACAAAGATATCTTGAGGTCAAAATATAAGTGACTTTTTCTTTCAGTGAATGTACACATGCCGAAAGATAGAGTGACCCAAATGCATCAGGGATACGGCTTTGTCGAGTTCATGGGCGAAGAAGACGCGGATTATGCCATCAAAATCATGAACATGATCAAGCTCTACGGCAAACCCATTCGAGTGAACAAAGCCAGCGCTCACCAGAAAAATCTGGACGTGGGGGCGAATATATTCATCGGAAATCTGGACCCGGAAGTGGACGAGAAATTGCTATACGACACATTCAGCGCATTCGGTGTGATTTTGCAGACTCCTAAGGTACGTATCATCAGTCTCAGTGTAAACTATTAAAAACAAATCGCAAAAAGAAATGATTCACTAATTTGGCTTTTGGCATTATAGATAATGAGGGATCCCGAGACTGGCAACTCGAAGGGCTTTGCCTTCATCAACTTCGCCTCGTTCGACGCGTCAGACGCGAGCATCGAGGCGATGAACGGCCAGTACTTGTGCAACCGACCGATCTCGGTGTCGTACGCGTTCAAACGAGACGCCAAGGGTGAGAGGCACGGTAGCGCCGCGGAGCGACTTCTGGCCGCGCAGAACCCTCTCAGCCAGGCGGACAGGCCGCATCAGCTCTTCGCGGACGCGCCGCCGCTGGCTCCGCCGCCAATGCCGAATTCGAACGCGACCGTGCACCAGTCGGCTCATCATCCCCAGCACCACGTCATGCACCACGGCATGGTAGTGCCGCCGCCGCCACCCCCGTCGACCCCGGGACCGCCGATGGGCCATCCGCCTCCGCCTCCGGTGCCGCCGCCGCCGTCGGGCGGTTTCCCGCCGGCGAACATCCCCCCGCCGCCTCTTCCCCCGATGTCCATGGCCGCGCATCCTCCGTTACCGCCGGGGATGCCGCCGCCGTTGCCACCGATGCCGGTGCCGACGTCGCAGGCGCAGGCGACCTCCAGGATGATGGCGCCGCCGCCGCCGCACTGGGCCGTCGGC